TCATTTACACGCCACATTCGTATTTACTGAAACGTGAAGATCGGCGGCGAGGAATAATATACAGTAAAGTGAGACATCTTATGATAGGCTGTGCTGACCTTTACACATGCAACGATAGCTTTGAGGATACAAACATTGTTTAATCCCCTACGAGAATGTCAATGTCTCCATCACTTTATTATATAAGGCATGTGGACGCTGTAGGATATTTGATTCCAAAACAAACAAAAATCATTGCAACTGTCGTTTTCCTATGTCTTACATAATATTAAAAAATCAAATGATACTGAGAAATTCGTAAATTTTCGTTTTACCTTTCAGTGAGACTTCTGTACTAGATTTAATTCAAGTATTGGCCCATGTGACATTTTTTATAGATGAATGGTCGTTAAGACTTTACAAACAACATATCTGGTCAAGACATGTTACACATATAGTCTACTTTTTGTTCTCTGTCAAATATATTCTCTTCGTGAGATAAAATATAAAACGAAGTTTATTTAGAAACCAATGCAGTCTATGAAACAATGCGCTCTTGTATTGGTCGATATCTACATTCAGTCAGAAGTCTACCGGAGAGATATTTATCCACGCCTCATTGAAGGGAGGCAACTGCTGTATCTGCTCATAACCCAATAAAAGAACATTCCTGTTTATTGGATTCACCTTCACAGTGGGTTAAACCGATGAGGTCCGTTATCAAAAGAAAAAAAAACATAGCAGCTTGAATTCAAGAATGAAAATAAAATACAGTTCTGTATTTATTGACACTGATGTCCAAACTACAGTTTACACTAAACGACCTGCAACATAAGTACTGTATGTAATTGTATGTCAGCAAAAAGCGTATGTATGCACACAATGGTGTAAAATGTGTACGAGTTGTCCACAAAATCAATGTCGATTTCTCCTACGCTGTAAGCGTATGTACAATAGTTGTTATATATGTACCGAAATGACTCGATTCAGCTACGCTTTGTTAAATACTTGGTTACATATGTGCGAGAGTCTGTGAGCCTCCTCGTCTCGATTTAGAACTGGCCCAGTGCGGTGTATCCAGATGGCTTCCTTTATCTGCCGCTTGAACAGATTGCTCTCTCTGTGCAAAAATTTGGAGTTATCCAAGTCTGGGACTCCGACTGCTTCCTTTTTGATCTGGTGACTTTCCTACCTGGTGTCACGACAAATGACCAGTGAAGCGTACGCACAGTGTGCATACACTTCACTGGTCATTTGTCTGATGAAGGTGACAGTGTAATATCGTACTAGTCATCGAAACGTCACATAGAAAATGTCATTGGTTGTGTAAAAAGAACGTTTCATACTATATAATATATTAATATTTTTTCTGCAAACAGTGTTAAATTTGTTTGCTTGCTAAAAATAATAGGCTCGCTAGATTAGAAGGAAAACCCTATCTTAACATTTTTTTTCGAAAGTACATTACATCTTTCCGTAGAGAAGTTTTTGTATTGGGGTGCCAATAATTGACCAAGTTATTATCTAAACTTCTTACTACCATTTTAGTACCATTAAATCAGGCATACAGTTGATGTTTGACACCCCAGAATTTTAATTAATGGAATGTAGATTGTACAGAACTCAAAATATAGTCAGCATCCTTCCTAAAATTCTGCTGATCCGGTACGTCCTTGTAAAAATCATTTATAGGTAAGTGTTTTCGAATAAAATGCTAAGTGAGGTCAAATTTGACTTCATTGTATGTTTTTAGAAAACGCAATACACAATAAGACTCAAAAAATATTCCGGATTCATATGACGCTTAGCTTGCTGTTTATTATTATCTTTGTATATACTGGTGGTAGGTAAATCTTGTACGTCGTTCCCGGTCCCGGACTAAAACCCCGTACCAGGAATATAAAGATATTTTAATATCTCATTAACGCGATTGTTTATATTTTTTATCAAATTATACAATAATTTCAAACATTATTTTCTAAATGTTACAATTACAATAATGTTTTTTAATCATCTGATAATTTAGAAATCGACGATAATGTGTATTTCAAGGAGGTAAAACTTGTACGACGCAGTCAAACGTGAAAATTACCAATTTATACAAATTATCCGAAATACAGAGTCTAATGGCATATCAATTTCAGTTCCACAAAACAAAAATGCATTATTGTTTGTAAATATATCAGTTTCAATGAAACAAACGACCTTTTTCACATGAAATATCGACTTTATTATGATCACGGGCGACGATCGCGGGTGTTTTTACTCCCGTACACGTGCTAAGGGGAGATCACTCTGTCAAGCTATGTCGTTATCAAGTAGGCAATGTTACCAATTTTTTAAAACTATACATAAAAGATTAATGATAGTTCACAAAATGAAAATTCATTATTATCATAATGATTGGTTATCATTAGAAATAATGGTTTTAATTTGATTCTGATCTTAGAAGTATATTTATATAATAACTTCAAAAAAAATGGTTCTATGATTAAAATAACATGTTCTTTTTCAAAAGAAATTTTAGGTTTACTCACTACGCATTATAGCTTGTAATAGGATACAAATACATTGAAAAAATAGAAAATCACGTTAGTTTTAAATTGAACTGAAAATTATAGATATATTTATTAAAACAATATCTGCTGCAGATTTTATGTTAAAATCACAATGCTGGCTAACTAACTAACTAAACTGCATTATTTCAACGGACAACCTGATCTATGTTTTGAGACCAATATACTGTTGACTTCTATTGCTGTTTTAAGAACATAAATATAGGAACAAACTGTTCCATCCGTTTTAAAGCAAGTTAAGTAAAGTTGAATGTATTATAATGGTTAATTTGTGTACGTTATTTTAGATGTTCAAATAAGGTAAACTACTATAAATGGGGTTTAAAGGACAAATTAGTGAAAAGCTATGAAAGAAAAGTGTGGGATATGTGAAATAAAGGATCACATCACTTGGAAAACATGATACGTATATGTTCACTTTGGTCACGTTTCTGTTTTGTTGCAATATTTTCGCAAATAAAATCGATCTGGTTATGTAAACATTTCAGATAGGTTCATATATTTTATCATAAGTGATGATTACATCGATTTAAAGTCTGTTTTAGCACGGACTTAGATAATTCCGTGGTTTTAGTGATAATGTTAAGTAGCATGAGTATAAGTCTTGACCAATATAATGTGTAACGTATCTGTTGGAAATGGTAACGTATATGTTTAAGGACTGAAATGAGTATCCTAAGACGCTGAAAACATTTCAATACCTATGAACATGGAAAAAGTGAGTTGTGTGTACATATTACTGAAATACTGAAAGCTTTTATCTCATTTTGGTTTTTAATTCCCCCTCATATCAAAGTATGACGAAGACTAAGGCGGAAATACAAAAAGCTTATCGAGAGCCTCGCAAAAAGCTAAATGTTCCCTAATTCCTACAAAACGAAAACTCGAAGTCAAATGTAGGGCTCATACTTCTGGGGAAAACAGAATCAGTGAAGGATCTAAAAGAATAGAGAAAAATATCTTTCAACTTTCTGAAATTGATTACGAAATCGTCAATTTTGAATGGGAGTAACGTTTGAAAAAAAAAAAGTGACATGTACGTATACGCTAGCGTACAATTTTATATAGATAAAGCCGCCCTGTTGTTTAATTTCGTCTCGAGCTTTTGTGAAGTTGTTTTCAATAAACAAGTTTGTTATAAAGTTACTTGTTCAAAATGTGTGAACAGTTCGTTACAAGATATAAAGAAATGGTTGTATTTAAAAGTATTTTACATATAATAAATATTTAGCACGACTCTTAATAATAATAATAATATTTATTCAGGTAAAATAGGCATGTTGTTACAAGATATCACAATTTAGAATAACATATATAATTAAAATCACATTGCAGCTTGTAAATAAAAAAAGAGTATTTTGTATTAAGACTGAGAATAATAATAGATCTGATCTAATAAAAGTTTTTTTTTAATTCGATCATTGACATATATCACAGAGTATAAAAATCTAAAAAAGTCTGATACACTGTAAAAAAAAAGGCAGATATTACTTTAAAATGAGACAAAATGAGATCGACTATTTCAGTAAATGAAGGTATTTATAATTAAAAAATAGATCGCATAATAGGAGTGGTGTTGATTGCCATTTACCTAGGATTACCCATAAAGCCACAGTCTTTTTGACGACAAAGCTTGATGGAGTGATTTCCCCTTAGCACGGGAACGGGATACTCCAACAATGTTAGAGGTTTTACACGGCGAAAAACTTTCGACAGGCGTCGCAGTCGGCAAAATCATATCCGATAGAAAAACGACCGACCAGCGGCCTCTCATGTTATAGGAGTAGGGTACGGGAGTAAACAAATCACCTGCGATCACAACAAAGTCATAATTTCATGTAAAAAATGTCGTTTATTTCAACAAAACTTACATAATTATAAACAGTAAGGCATTTTTGTTCTCTATGTATGAAAACAGCATGTTATTTGCCTCTAGTTTTCTAATGTTATGCGAAAAATCGTAATTTTCACGGTTGAGTGCGGCGTCCAAGTTTTACCCCCTTGAAATGCACATTATCGTCAATTTCAAAATTAGCAGACGATTCAAAGTTTTCATCCAAAGTGTCCCATCTAGAAAACGGTTTGATTAAACTTTAAACTAATGAAAATAACGATCTCGTTGTTGAGAAACTACAAAATCTCTATTTCTTTGGTACGGGGTTTTAATCCGAGTCCGGGAACGGCGTACAAAATTTACCTACCACCGTATATCCGTTCTATGTGTTGGTGCTTTTTCCGGTGTGTTAATTTACATATATAACCACTTTAGTAACCTAAATGGTGATTAATAATTTATCTAATAACAATAGACAAGTTAACAAATAAGTTATTTTCATCGATATGAATGATAACAACGACTTTCCACTTGAAACATGTAGAACATGATTTTTCGTATCATTTATAATTGCTTATCCCGTTTCAAATATGACGTGAAGAACAACGGAATACGACAAGATAAAAAAAAACAACATGACGGGTGGGAATAGACAGACTGTCCAAACGACCGCTGACACGTTTGCATTCAAATATGCACTATCGGCAATAGCAGCAGTTGTAGCAGAAACAGGTAAACACTACTTTGCATGACATTCCATTTCAGACAAACGATCATGTGTGTGTACTCACGCTTGTGTACTTTGATCTCAGATGAAGAAGTGGGAGTTACTCCCCTTTGCAAACAGCTGATCAGAGCCGCATACCCTTGGCTTACTAATATTTCTGTATAAGTGTATATATTAAAAATGCGATGTCAAAATAAATGTTATGCCCTCGTATTGTGTGACATGATCTCGGATATGTAACAGATGGTCAAAAAAGAACTGGAGTAAATAAAAACAAAGAATTAAAGGAGCACTGTTACATATCTCTGTTGTTGAAATACAACAGCCTAGATTATGTATTTAACCCAGGGCTATTCAAATAATAGACTGGCCTTTAACGGACTGATCTTAGTGTTTTTATATTTATGGTTAAAATTTCATGTTGTAGACTTTCATGTAGACTTTGTTGTAGACTTTCAATGTTTAGTATCAAAGGCATATATTTTGTTTAGTAAAATATTGAAATTGGGTAATGCAGTACATTATAAAAAAAAAGAGCTGATAATTTATTTTGTTTCTTTAAGCAACATATCCATTTGACATAACAAAAACAAGACTACAGCTACAAAGGGAGGGTCTGATCGTGGGCAGTCAATGTAATCATGGGACTTGTGTGCCTTATCGTGGCATGGTGGCCACAGCTCTCGGCATTGGTAAGTCATGTGACATATATACCAATATGGCAGGGTGGCCACAGCTCTGTTATCACACGTAAGTTACAAAATATGTATACCACTGTGGTGGGGTGGCCAAACCTTGCCTTAAACTTATATAGTTAATTTTCTCCGCGCCAGAAGGCGCATCAGGCCTCATGGGTGGCCAAAACTGTGCTTTAACTAATAAAGCATTGGTATGTACAACAAATACCACTGTGGTGTGGTCGTGACGTCAAAACTGTCATCATTGGTAAGTTGCGATAAATATATACCACTGTGGCAGGAAGGCAACAGCTGTGTTAGCACTGATATTGAAAAGTTATGAGACAAGTATACCACTGTGGCTGAGTGATCAAAGCTGCCATTCATTGGTAAGTCATGAGACATTTATAACTCTGTGGCAGGGTGCCCTCAGCTGTTGGCGTTGATATGGCATGAATTTGTATACCACTTTGTCATACAGCTGTAACAACTGGTAAGTCCTGAGAAATTTATACAAACGCCGCATGGTTAATTGAATTAGTGAAATGCGTAAATGACTGTGAGATCATTAGATTGTTGTATATTTTGTGCATTGTACATTCAGTTGACATACTACACATAGCTTAATTTGGCTAGAAGGAATCCCCTTTAGCTCATGGTAGAGCATCAGACTTAAAGATAGGCCTAGTATGTGTGGGATCTCTAGTTTGATCCACAGTGGAGGCACACATATACTTTGTACTACAGTGTATCTAATCTATTACAGTACATGTAGTACATGTATACTATATAAAGAAAATTGCTTTAATTTACTCCGGAGATACAAACAAGTTTTCACTACATTTTGAAGCATTTTCAACAACTTGTATACCACTTATTGGATTTAAACTTGATCTGTTTGCCAACAGTCCAAGAGGAAGGTTTGACCAGTATTTATCAGGGATTATCGGCGGCTCTTTACAGACACATAAGTAAGTACAAACTTTACTCTAATGTCAATATGTACACAAGTACAACCCAGTGATTGTTCTAGGATTTGTTTTTATGTGAGTCATGAACATCTTTTTCATAATGTGCCAAGCATCACTGTAACCCATACTATAATCTACCACAAAATTTATAACTAATACATCATTTTATCACATAAATAGTATTATACTTCCCAAACTGTAATGCTTATAAATAAGTATAGGTAAACCCTGATTTTAATGCAGATCTAGGATTTAGAAATATAGCTTTTTCTCCAGGGGTGGGTTGACCGTAGGGGCTCCCTCTCATCCCCACCTTTCCCGATCTACCAATTGGCACAACCTATGTTTTTTGATGCTATTATAAAATAGAATTATACAACAATAAAAAAAGAAAAGTTTTTTGTTAACAGGAGAAAAGTAATTTTACTGAGAATGTCAGCCGGTGTATCGTATCTTTTTTCATATGATTTTTATTTTTAATCTGAACCTTTGCCTTCGATGTATGCCTAATCTTATTCACCATGTCAACTACTGCGAGGTTAGAGCATGTCTGTGTATTTTCATTTCAACACGTATACACCTGTAAGGGACCCCATTGAAAATATTAAGCCTTTAATGGCTTTGATGGGTCATTCCATGTAAGGGCCAAAATATGAATACGTAACTGACATCAAGTTTCCAAACAGCCTCCATATCCTGTATTTATATCAGCTGTCTTGTTTGTATATGTTTTTTACCTAATTATTGAAATACCTGTGGATGCTATATATGGTACAATTGGGGTTGACAACACCAGGGGTTAAAAGTGTTTAACACAGAAATGGTACACTATTCACCTATTTGCATTGACAACTAAACATGAACAAAAGGAATTTTTGATAACATTAATGTTTTTATTTTATTTTATCTAAAATTGTCTCTGTTCTTGAACACCATTGTTTAAGGGAAGTTCCTATTTTTCAAACCAGAAATGTGCAACAAATCATATTATAAATGTGCAATAAGATTGTAAGAGGTCAGTGTCATGCTTATGATTTTGGTTGCCTTCAGTTTATACAGGTTTGCGCATGACTTTCTATGAAGTGATACGAGAAAGCATATTAAAGAAGGAAGCCGATGGTTCCTATCCTGTTTGGTAAGTTATGACAAATCACAAAGGAACCTTGGTAACTTTATGTTTATGTATAGAAATATTGTGTTAGGAGAGCTTATGAGTTCTCATTTGGTGACAGAATTGTTTTCCTTAAGATTTTATTCCCCGTTTTTTTAAGAAAGAAATGTTTCAATGATTGCTTTTTCTTCACGTTCGACAACCAGATTTATTACATCATTACCTTGCCAAAATAGGTGTAAAACTGGTGTTTGTAAAAACAAGTGGTCCATCATATATGTATAGGCTTTCCAATTAAGTTCACAGTTTGGAACAGCTTAATGTATGGCACTTACTCCAATCACAACTAGCTTGTTGGTTTCACTCCTTTGATTACAAAATTTTGATAATTATTATGATACATGTATTTGCAAAACAAGATTTTTCCAGACAAATGCAATATACCATTTGTCTTAGAGTTCTGTGTACCAAGGGAGATAATCCAAGATGGCGATCTCCAAGAATCGTCAATCTTTTCCTGAAAAAAACTTGAAATTTTCTATACCTGTGTATTTTACGCACCCCCCACTTTGGGTATTAAATTTCTGAAAAAAAAGTGCACAAATTACATGGGTTTTTACGGTAAATGTTTCCCATAGATATTTTATGTAGTAATATAGATATTACAGAGTTGATCAAAATATTTACATTCAAATACTATTAAAGTACCCAACTTTGACAACTTTCTGATTGCCTGATTCGACTGTAGGAAAGAACTAGAATTATGAGGTACTGTAAGAAGGCTTTTCACTGGTGAATAAACCATGTGTATGTTGTGTTGTTTTCCAGCAAGCAAGCAATGTACATGCAAAGCAGCAACACTCTTCCAAAACTCTCCTATATAGTAAATGTACAATGTAAATATAGTGTTTTTATACATGTATATTTATCTTTAGAACTGTTATTGTGAAAGTTGCATATAAAATTTCACATCATGTGATGATCTTGCTTGAAGAAGTAAACAGCAAGGTTTTGTAGCAGCAGTTTCTGACTATCATTGTGTAATCTGTCACTACAGGAGCATAAGGGGTCAGTGAGAATTATAGGAGATCACAGGTCAGATGCTGAAGCTTTGACATATTTTAATGATTCCCTGTACTAATCCCTACAGTGAATCAGTGTCAAACTACATTTGTGAACATATTGCATCAAGCACATTTGAAAAGCCTTGATTTTAAATTATATCAATATAAATGTCAAAACTGGCATTTGCTGTCAATGACGAGACATCTTGATGAGACCTCGTTTATGTTCTTATTAACTCATTATTGTTTTATATTGTAAGGAATATTGTAAAGATTACCATGTGATCTATCTTGGGCTATGAATGAAGGTACTCTTGTGCAAAGTGCAATATATTTATGACTGTTGTTTTTCTGCCATTCAGGAAAGCTTCCCTGGGTGGCCTAACAGCAGGGGCCCTTGGTCAGTTCATTGCTAGTCCAGCAGATCTAGTTAAAGTTCAGATGCAGATGGAAGGCAGACGAAGACTTGAAGGCAAACCTTCAAGGTATGGTACACGACTTACTAACCTGTATAATGCTACTCATCAATAGCATTCTCGTGTATAATTCATACATTGTAGTAAATTTCAATTCTCCATGCTGTTTTTAATTAATTTTACAGTATAAGGCTTTAAGTGATAAAGCTCAGTATCAAGATGTTTTCAGCTGGTAGCTATGTATACTACCGGGTAAACAGGAAAAAATAAGTAATTGTATGGTAATTTGAGCATATTACCTTAAGTTTACCTCTTATTTAAAAAAAAAAAAATCTCTTTAAAATGATTTGATTTTGAAGCTGTTTCTATTTATGGGAAAAATGAGGACGTTTCTTCAATGTAATATTCTCTACATATGTCTTATATATAAGCAACTTAATTAATTTACACAGCAGATTTAAGATACACATTTTGATCATAAATGAAGTTGTTCCAGGATATCTTTTTCACCAATGTGTAGTTAGTTCATAAAAATGAAATATATTCAATATTTGAATTATTATAGTAGACAGTAACGACAGATAGGTCTAACAATGCGATCATGGTAAATAATTATTTAATTTGGTTTAAGTGACCAGTGACCAATGAACATGAAGTAATTCCCTATTCAATAATTCTGCATATTGATAGATATGTTGATTACATTCACCCAGTACCATTTCACCATGCTTACAATACCATGCCATGCCGGCACTAACGTTTGTCAGTTGAATAGTCACAGGTACGTTTGTCTGGTGAAAATTTTGACTTTTCACAGGACAGAAATTTTGTTAGACCTGTCTTCATTATGGACAAAGTATAAATTCAAATCTGCATTTGTGAATTTTGATTTTAAACATCAGATTATCAGTATGAACAGAATGAGATACAAACAATTGGTTTCTGAATGAAACACATTTGGCAGACAGAGACGAGCTCTTATGTATCTTACTATTATTAAAGAAGAAGCAAAAAGAAAAGTGATTACCACATGATATCTACATATTCGTCTATAGCTATATATATATAGTTGTAGAGATATGTCCATTTCCATGGAGACATAAGTCATCCACTCTTGATCCATCCATTTTTATTTATCTTATTCAAAATGTATGTAGCAGTTTATCCTTCTATCTTTTAGAGTGAAAAATGTTAGCCATGCACTGAAACAAATCATTGCTGAGGGTGGATATAAAGGACTCTACCGCGGCTGTGTTCCAAATGTACAAAGGGCAGCTCTAGTAAACATGGGAGGTAAGTCTGCACTATAGAGGGCAGCACTAGTAAACATGGTAGGTAAGTCTGCACTATAGAGGGCAGCACTAGTAAACATGGGAGGTAAGTCTGCACTATAGAGGGCAGCACTAGTAAACATGGGAGTTAAGTCTGCATTATAGAGGACAGCATTAGTAAATATGGGAGGTAAGTCTGCACTATTGAGGGCAGGCACTGGTAAACATAGGAGGTTAGTCTGCACCATAGAGGGCAGCACTTGTAAACATGGGATAACATGGCAGCACAGTAGCATGGGAGGTAAGTCTGCAGTACAGGAGATAATGCTATTGGAACTTAAAATACATTACAAATGTATGTGTAAGGTATACTATTACAGTGGAATAATTTGGCACAATTATCAATATAATTCAAATAACTGATTTTTGTACTTTTCTTTTCAGATTTATGTACATATGACACAGCCAAACAAAAACTTTTGAAGTGGACAACCCTTGAGGATAACTATGTTACACACACAATAGCAAGGTACAGTACCCATTTATAGCAGTATTTGTATAATACATACAAACTATTACAAGATCTGATGTTTTTCATATAGGTAAAACACGAACTGTAGTGCATGTCTAATTTGCACTTAGATTGTAATTTAGATTATTTTATAATACAGTCTACAGTAGTTACTGTAGTTCCACAGCTGGGTTGGTGGCAATTTATATTATGATGCATTTTACTTACTGTAGTGTCATGTTTTGTTTGATGACAGTTTATTTTAAAAACATTCTGTTTACTCTAGTGCCATGTCTGGTTTGGTGGCAGCTACACTAGGAACACCTGCAGATAATGTGAAGACCAGAATTATGAACCAGCCTACAGAAAATGGCAGGTAAAGTCAAAATTTACTTCACATTCATCTGATGGTATGGTGATACCTTAAACCTTCTGAAACAACAGACATCTACAACAGCAATATTACATGGGTAGCTCGCCATTACCACTGATTAAACTAAGCTGTTTTTATCACATTTTATGCACTTCATGATAATTTTGTTTGAATGTACATGCACCTTCAAAATCTATTGTACCAACAACATGATAACACTTGCTGAAATTTCCCTGGTATAATGTTCCTTTAATTGCCTGTCCATCCATTAACATCTTGACTGACTCATAACTTTTGATCGCCTCATGGCTGCATATGATACTCAACAGAAGTGTATGTAATCAGTACATGACATGTTGCTTGACACTCCCAGGTCAGCAATCCAAAATCCCAGGGGTCAAATCTAAATTGTTTTTTTCTGGACTGTAACCCCTGAAAATCAAAATTTTCCTTTAAAATTTAATAGAAATGTAGAATAAGATTGATAATGTGTAGTAAAATATTTTCATACCATTTTTAAAGATCAATGCTTGTTAAGATATCAAAAGGTCACATGGTTATTGTGAATTGTAACTTCTGATCAGCCCATCATGTTGATGCAAAACTTCATAGTTGTGTGTATCATGTTAGACAATATATCATAAATCAGGTCTGTAGCCTTTATGTAAAGGAAAAAGAGAGCATGGAAAATGTCAACAAACCATATTTTAAACTTAAAATCAATACAACTTGGACAAATATTAAGCAAAGGAAATATTTCTATGGAGACAGTTGAAAAAATACAAGAAGAATTAAGACTAATAGCATCCATCCCTGATGAGAGGTATGGATAAGGTTATTCAAACCCAAGGGATAAAATATTGGGCAGGAAACCAGAGGCTTTGCCGAGGGTATTTTGCTCAATATTTTATCCCGAGGGTTTGAATAACCTTATCCTTACCTCACATCAGGAATGGATTCTATTTCTTACCTACACCCGTAAAACAGCTGCTTTTTCCAGTAAAGTTGTAAACTGTCCGCACATTTCTCATTTGCATATGAAGCCTGGATGGCAATTGTTAGACGTCAATGACCCTGACTGACCCCAAAACGTCATAAAATGACGTCACGAACAATAGCGTGACCCCGAAAGGTCACTATAATTCTCCCGTCAGTCTGCGCGTGTAAGCGATCTAGACCGTGGGTCGGATAGAATTTTCCTACACCGCCGGAAATGAGGATATCTCGGTCTAGGATGGAAGAATAATAGAATCTATCGCTACTGGTTGTGTAAGATAGAGAAATCTCAACCCGAGGACTAAGATTTTTTGTCCAGAACGAGGCTTGCCGAGTTCTGGACAAAAAATCTTAGTCCGAGGGTTGAGATTTCTCTATCTTACACAACCAGTAGCGATTGATTATTTTTCTCCCATATCTAACAGTATTTTAATGTGAAATAAAGGTAAACATGGACCCAAAACACATACAGGCAATTTGTTGATGGATTGTTGACGTGACGTCATTGTATTGTTGAAGTGACGTCATGCCATTGTTATGAATAGGGGAATCCCCCCGTCTCAACCCTAGGGCGGAGACAGATAAATCTAGCACCGGCAAAACGGGAGATAAATCTGTCAGGTGTGGGAGAAAAGAAATTCTCTTACCCTGGACAGGTGTATCCGCATTTTTACCGGTGTGAGATTTCCTTGTCTCACCCTAGGGTTGAGACAGGGGGATTCCCCTATTCCTAACAATGGCATGACGTCACAGTTTGGCAACTTAAGAATCCTCACCCTCGGGTTGAGATTCTCCTACCTCACCCCCAAGGGGGTGAAAGATTCTATTAATCTCACACCGGTAAAGGTGCGGATACACCTGTCCAGGGTAAGAGAAAAACCTTTCCCTTCTTCTGCCGACCTATGTTTTTCAAAGAAGGTTTAATATCTTTTAAATCCATTTCCTACACTTGGAAGTCGAAGACGTAACAGATTTCTCTATAACTACTGCTTTCTTCGATCTTCGTCCACATGACTAACTGGGATGGCTAATTACTACATGTTGTGAGATATGTATAACGATTTCGTTTAACCTATCGTTAACTTTCGAGGTTTCTGTTAATAATATCCGTGCTTTCCGAAACTATGGTGTTCATATGTCCTAGTTCACTCGGTACTCAAGAGCTTTCTCCGAATGTCATAGTTTCCTCGATAGATATTGACTGCAGAAAGCAAAAGGGTTTCGAGGGATATAGGTTGATGGAAACTGGCCAAGTGTCATAGTCGCTATCACGGTCTCATTGGAAATTAATTCTGTGCCTTATATGATATGAAGGTCTATGGATTTGGTTATGCTCATTTGTGTGCCTTGCCATTTTTTTTGTTTCCACCACCCTGGTCCTCGCGTTTAGGTTGGACGTCGATTTAAATCGCGGGTGTCGTCGATAAAGAAGATTACAGTAACCCTTCTCGAACATCTGGTCCTATTCCTTTCGTACGTTTTCAAGGGTTAAATCCAAAAAAAATTATTGACTTGGAGTTTGAATTATGGACAATTCGCTATTCTCTTTGTATGCTGAATACTAATTAGATCTCCAGTTATATATAGTACTGCGTCAACGTGATTGCAAGTGGTCAGATATCAAAGCAGCGTACCGTTTGTCTAGAGGTTACTTCAGAGTTATGATATGCATGGTTTACACTGTTAAAAGGAATAAGGAGGGGCCTAGTAGGGTGATTAACTCGACTTGTGTGTCCTGGAAAATTAAACGGGATCAAAGTCAATTGTGCATTATAACAACTCATAACAATTGCTTTTTTGGCAGGTGCCTACCAGTATACATTCCATGTTGATGGTGGTATCTGTACATGATAACTATATCTTTTGTATGTATCGCTTTCTCTATAGACATTAACCTCAATATGAATCAACTGTGTGTTACAGAGGTCTGATGTACAAAGGCACCCTGGACTGTCTGGTGACCACTGTCCAACAGGAGGGGTTCTGGACACTGTACCGCGGCTTTGTCCCAATATGGCTACGGATGGTAGGATATTTCTCAAATAACAAAACTAATGCCAGGAAATAATACAAAACTCTTCAGGATATGTCAATGGTTGAAATTTCGTCAAAAACTTGTATGTGTTGGCAAACTCTTATAAACCTTAGCATTATATAATGTCTAGGTGTTCATGTAGTGCAATCCCATTCTTGGTACTTAAAGAGAATGGAAGAACTCGTCTCGTGTGTAATTCAGGTTAAATGCATGCTAAAATTGCTTTATTGTAAGAACCTTTCGTCTTTTAAATCAAATAGTTCATATGAATGAAATAACGTAGTTGTATTTAGGAATAACTTTCGAAACCGGACAGTTCATCGTGTAGTACTTTCATACAGTTTGTCAGGACATAATGAAGTGTCAAAGATGTAATGGAAGGTCCTTTCACCTAATATTCAATGATAATGTTTTGTGTAACTTACGATTGCTCTTTGACATATCGCTGCAGTTAGATGTACATGTATCACACATTGAATATATTGTTACAGGCCCCTTGGTCCCTCACGTTCTGGCTTACATATGAACAAGTACGACGTATGTCCGGTGCAGGCTCCTTCTAGTAGCCAACTCTTGCTGTACTTTTTGATGTGTGACTGATACAACTCAGGTAGACGGTAGCCTTTCAACATCACGACATATCTGTTCAAGTGCCAAACCAAAGAGATATTCTCTGTTGTATTTATCAAAAGCTTGTGGAGTATAAGAATAGTCTATGGATGTGATATCTTAAGCACAATTTGGATGCGGTTGTTATGATTTTAGCACATTCCTATAAACAACCTGTTCAACCTTGGTGTGGTATTATTTATATGCACATTTCATAATGAAAGTCGATTTTAAAAATCTGATTGAATGCTGAAGTAAGATAAACCTGACTCCTATGACTTCTTAAGACGTATATAAATAAAATACTGACTTTTCCTGACTGTAAGCGCTGTGAAGTGTGCCCTATATAGAATTGCTGCCCTCTGTACTGGAGTCTAACCTTCCATGTATGTAATATACCTTTTGTACTGACGTGTTACCTCCAATATATACAAGTGCCACGCTATTTCTACTGAAGACTATAATTAACTCCCATGTAAAGAGGTGCTGCCCCTTGACTTTTGTATTTGGTACTTACCCCCTATAAATATTTACAAAAGAAAATACATTCATACAACAAGTATGTATTCTGCAGTAAATCTTATACTAAGCTAATAATTTAGTTTCATTTTTAAAAGACAGTTTTAAACGTTTGAAAGTTTATTCATCATATTAAAGTGTACTTTATTTGTTTATCTTTAAACTGTCGTTTGTTGAAGCCATTACTTATTCAGGGGAGTCAAAAGTCAAATATAATGTCTTCCCCACTACGACACTGGATGCTTGTTGATTGGTGCAAGTTATTGTTCCGTTGTCCATCATCTGAGTAGCATTAACCACGTGGCTCTTGTCGAGCAGTAGAAGTACATGCATGATAATGCAATTTTTAGTTTGACCTGCATATCATAATTTGAAGAATTGTCAAGACAGGGTGGTATTCGTATATACCCGATAAACGAAACATGCGTCCGTGCAGCCGGTTCTGATTTGTTCTGTCCCTATTTGGGTAACTAGAAGCATTACATACATGTATATTATACTTGTATCTATGATGCGGCTCCAGTTCTCTGCTGAAATCATGTTGCGTCACATTTGCTGTATTTGACCAGGATTTTACGCTTCATGGATATTTTCGTCCATGTTTTAGTAACAACAAGTGTTACATTTTGATATTGAAAAGGATCTCAGTAATGTAGTGATATATCAAGCTAAAAACAAGTGTTTGTCTATATCAGAACAACTAAGGTGCGGCTCGGATTATATTTGCATCAATAATATAAAATAGTAGGGTTGTTGTATTGATTTCATTATTCTGATGCTGAATTAGACCAAAGTGTTCAATACGAAACCACCGAACCGAACATCAGGTTAAAATTAATTGTTATGACCATAATTGATCCACCCTTAGTGCTTTATTTTCCCGATGAATTCATTATGCTGGTGCTGAATTAGACCTACATTTGACGCTTCAGTGACCAGGTTAAGAAGAGAAACTAATTTTTATATATCGGGTTAGGAAGAATCATTTCGTCAATATAAGGGGTAACTATAGGTGCGATATGGACTTTATAGTACTGACATTTTCATGTTGTCAAATACATATGCGCTTAAGTTAGTTTTGTGCCGTTACTGTACACAATTGGTTTGATTGATTCTTTTATGAATATAATATAGTAGATATTATGGCATTACTGTTGATAATTATGAAGTATGTATGATTGTGACTTGTTCATATCATACTGACTTTGCTACCGATCGGATGATATTCATGATTGCTTCCTGTTTCGTTTGAGAAGATTGATTTCTACAATTTACCTTAACTGATTTTCAAATTTCTTATTTGTTTCGTACATGACTGGGTCGTGATATGTTTATGAGATGGTATAACGATACTTTGTGATCAATTATAATGGGATTTTATCAGGGCCCCGTATCTCCGATACGGGGGCCCTATAGTAATCACTCTGTCTGTCTGTCTGTCGGTCCACAAATTTTGTTCCTGGCTGATAACTTTGGTACTTACTGACCGATGTACATGAAACTTGGTCAAGTTGTTCAGTTCACAAAAATACACATTGAGGTAAAAAGTCAAGATCAAAGGTCAAGGTCATTGGGTCAAAGGTCAAGGTTAAATTTTGTATCTTTTCACTGGTGAACATTTCGCTATGACACTTTGAAGCAATGTTGCTCAGAATTTAACAAGGAGGCAATTGATCAAAGGTCAAGGTCACTGGGTCAAAGGTGAAGGTTAAATTATGTACCTTTTCCCTGATGAACATTTTGTTATGACATTATGAAGCAATGTTGTTCAGAACTTAACACAGAGTCAACTGACACGAGGATCAAGGTCACGTTTTGTATTTTTCACTGATGAACATATTGTTATGATATTAAAATGCAAACTTGGTCGGAATTAAAGAATACAGTTAAGTCAACTGACCAAAGATCAGGGTCACTGGGCTAATGGTCAAGGTGATTTGGGTTCAAAGGTCAAAGACAAAGTGGATCTCTGACTTTTACCCTGGCTCGTGATGGAGGAGGTATATAAGGTGAAATAAAACAAATCAAAGCTAACAAATGAGTATTGCACCTGTATTTACATTTCTGGTAGCCCAGCAAATATGGAGGTGGAAGGAAACAAGACTCACATCATAGTATATGTAAAATGTATATTTGCTTCCTTGCGATTCTTTTTGAAGTCCAAATGTCAAACGTCAAGCTCAGCTATATGGGCAGATTGCTTCTTGATGATTATGGGGGATATATTGCCACAAGACCGGGCCCTTACTGACCTGTCAGTGTTCTAGCTACTCCAGCCACCTTGACATTTCTAATCCGTAGAATGTCCTTGTTAACATGTTCATGTAGGGATGATCTGGTGAAAACCACGATGAGAGTAGTGTTTTTAGAAAATGTCCATCCTGACTTATTGTAAAATACATGATGAGTGTGGCCATTCGAGTATGTCCCTGTTTACTAAATGTTTAGTGTTAGGGTTGCACATGACTGAGACTGTAAATGTTAGAAAACGCAATCAATAGGAATAACAAGAAGAATAGCACTACACTGCTAATGTTTATTGTTGTATATATGCGACGTTAAATAAAAGCTCTTGTATCTTGTATAGGGCATTATAGGAATTATATGAATCAGCTAGGTATTTCCAGGTTTTAGTGGTACAAATTTTGATAGGAGTATTATAATTTTGTATTTAAGTAAACAGAACAGTGATTATGTCATTCAAAAGCAATCAATTATGTATTGAAATATTATCCAAAAGTAATCAATTATGTATTGAAATGTTATCCAAAAGCAATCAATTATGTAAATGTTATCCAAAAGCAATCAATTATGTACTGAAATGTTATCCAAAGGTAATCAGTTGTGTAATGAATTCATTCACTGTTGTTTTAACTCAAATAGCTATGTAATTTTTATGCAAATAATTTATGCAATTTTCATGTACATATGTAAATGGTATTGTCAAAACCAGATAAGTTTTAATTGTTAAATATTTTATCTCATGTTTGATATGATGCATTTGATTGTGATGAGTGATACTTGGTGTTATATGATGCGTGTTTATTGATAGTATGATTCTTTTCTTGTGATCTTACTGGGAAAAATGTATGTTTGTTTTATTATTTTGTTATTCAGTGTTATCCTAGAGCTTGTCAAATTCACTGTTGCTCGTAATCAATAAAATACACGCGTACAGTATACCAGTGGTCATACATGTATAACCAAAAGATTGAACACGGAGGGTTCTTTACATTATAACAGGCGTCATATTAACGGATAGTAAAATAACTAATTACACTTGTTTTATGACGTACAAAATACCAGTAGCAGATGTAATATAAACAACATGTTACATGTGTATTAATACGTACGGTAAAGCAGGTTTCTTAAACAATAAAGTACACGTGTATTATCACGTTTATCAAAAAAGGTGCTATGAAAACGACATATCCTGCATGTCAAAAGTATGCAGTTTAGCAAGTGTTCAACGCAATACACGTCATGGTATTTCGTACGGTATAGCAGGTATCATATAAACAAAAACTAGCACGTGTAATTCGTACGGTATAGCAGGTATCATATACACAATAACTAGCACGTGTATTTCGTACGGTATAGCAGGTATCATATGCACAAACACTAGTACGTGTATTTCGTACGGTATAGCAGGTATCATATAAACAATAACTAGCACGTGTATTTCGTGCGTTATTTAAGGAATGATTTTTATTTTTTCAACATTTATGAGGTCATAACAACAATGGGTTTATGGACATATTGAATGAATCGCGTTAGCGATTCATGTAAAATATGTCCAAAAACCCATTGTTGTTATGACCTCATAAATGTTGAAAAAATAAATATCATTCCTTATATTTACATTGACGAATCCTTTCAGTGGATCGATATAACAACGAATAAAACAAATAAACAGGGTTTGTTCCTGCTTATACACGGGTGCAACGCAGTGGCGAGAACAGTGTTTTTTCGCGGGGAAATGTGACACTATCGTGAGAGATCTTAGCAACCGTCAACAACAATAACACAACAAAATGTAGTTCCATATTCAATGTTTATTTGTAGCACAGGACACGTGAATACGTGGATATTTCACAAAGCACAGTTCAATAATATTTTAAGATGTAAGAATTAAGCATCTAGTTCGGTCGTTCCGAGTGAGTAGTTTTTGTAGTGTATTACTACGCAGTGTGATCAGGTTACTATCAGTTCCCACGTGCTGAGATTCTATGAACACCTGTGTTATGCATTTATGAATGTAATTTTTGTCAATGGGTCTAAGCATACAGAATGTAAATATATGTGTATAAACAACATTGTTCACGTGTGAAATGTCAATATTATGCTAATCAAAACATGGATGATTGCAAGCTTCTGATAGCCACCGTTTAGAGTTATCTATATACTGAACAGTACATGTCAAACGTCTCTCTTTGGGGTACATTGTATCTTCAGTACAGAAAGTAAACAGGTGTAAAACATTAAAAAAGCTTTCTGTTTCAATAAATGGGGATATACATGTCGCATTCACAAAACGGAAACAAATTAAGTAAATATCGGTTAGCAATCAACCTTGGTTAAGTCTCATTACGGTTCTGTCATTTTAGTTTTTCGACATACAATAACGGATAAATAACATGATGGACAGTGATATATTATTCCTTATTATTTGCCATAAACAAATGAGGTCAGTGAAATATTTTTGTTGCAATCAGAACATACAATATAATCCATTTGACACGAAACACATGCAAACACGTTTTAATAAGGTTTGCATTACCCCCCGGTAGTGTTTGATTGACAGTAAATTCTGACCTGTATCCCGCTTCCATCATGATCAGAGTGAAATTCATAACTCAAATCTATACATGTAATACTTCCTAGAATATTTTCTTATCTTTCGATCAGGATGGTTGTGCACTGGTGGTTTTTACCAGGGTTACAGAAAGGCCTGTAGTGAGTAGTCGGCTTATAAACATAGTAATACAAATACAACTGCCAACCACACCACACACCTGATCAAAGTCCCGTTGTAACAACAAAATACATAAAATAATGTAAAAGTGTCATAACTCATTGTGTTCTTTTTATGGATGTCTGTTTTACAATTACTTACTAGAATATCCTTTTTTTGAACCAATGTAAGAATGCATTTTGTTTCTGCCATTTTCAAGTGGATGATTTCTATTTTGCTTGTTGTTTTAAGCACACCATCATCTGATGGTGGGCTATTCAAAACACCCTGCGTCCGTGGTCCGTCCTTAAACAATTATTGTTATCGCTATTTCTCAGGAAGTACCGGAGGGATCGTTCTCAAAATTTATATGTAGGTTCCCCTTGGTCCTTAGTTGTGCAGGACAACTCTTGAGACTGATCAGATAATTAACATGGCCGACAGGCAGCCATCTTCGATTTTGACAGTGAAAGTTTGTTATGGCTATTTCTCAGAAAGTACAGGAGAGATCCATCTCAAATTATATATGTTGGCTCCCCTAGGTCTGTAGTTTTGCATGTTTATTTTTGAGACTGAACAGCTAAAGCAAATTGCCGACAGGACACCATCTTGGATTGTGAAATTAAAGGTTTGTTATCACATTTTCTCAGCAAGTACTGGAGGAATCTTTCTCAAATTTGATATGCAGGTTTTCCTTGGTCTGTCGTTGTGCAGGTTAACTTTTGAGACTGATCAGATACACAAAATGGCCGACAGCCAGCCATCTTCGATTTTGAAAGTGAAGGTTTTTTATTGCTGTCTCAATAGGTAGTGGAGAGATCTTTCTCAAATCTTATGTGTATGTTCCTCTAGGTCCTTAGTTGTGCATATTTACTTTTGAGACTGAACAACTAAACTAAATGGCAGACTGGCAGCCATCTTGGTTTTTGACAGTGAAGGTTTGTTATGGCTATTACTCAGGAAGTACTTGAGAGATCTTTCTTCATTTTTTATGTAGGTTCCCCTTGGTATGAAGTTATGCATATTTTCTTATGAGATTGATTTGATAAACACATCTTTAATTTTGGCAGTTAAATTTTGTTAGTGCTATTTCACAGGAAGTACTGGAGGGTTCTTTTTCAAATTCTATACGGAGGTTCCCCGGTATCCTTTATTGTTCATGTTTACTTTTGAAACTGATCAGAAGAACAAAATGGCCGACCGACAGCCATCTTTAATTTTTGACATTGAAGGTTTGTTAGTGCTATTTCTCGGGAACAACTTAAGGGGTCTTTCTCATATTTGATATGTAGGTTACTCTTGATCCCTCGTTGTGCATGTTATATTTTGAGACTGACCATGGACAAAATGGCTAACGGACGAACTAAACAGATCTTTCTAATATTGCAATGATCGATTATATTTCTTTCACATTAAGTACTGTACTAGTAAATATGACGCGATCAAACAGATTATAGAGAAAAGAAGAGAAAAGATCGAACTGACAAAGAATTAATGAAGATGGTACAATGGTGGGCGCCAAGATCCCTCTGGGATCTCTTGTTTATCGTTTAATTTCAACTTTATGAAACAGTTTTTATCAGATTGATTAATGTATTTATTCAGGAAGCTTGACAGGAAGTTGTCAATATTTATTGATATCCAAATATACAGTAGCAAAAATAAATTGCTTACTTAAATATTATTATAAATATTATGTAAGTGGTAACGTAATCATTAGCGACTGCCACTAATAAATATTTTTATTTATATCGAATATATAGATAAATTCTCGTTTGGTTCATTAATTTAACAGTACTTTCTCAGCATAAGTATCGATTATTGATACGTAGTATTAAAAATATTGATTTTCCGTTTTGATTTATTAATGCTTGTTCAATCAACGCCTGCTCATTTTATTCATAACGTTATTCATAAAAGAACTAGTAGATTGTGTAAACAGAATCGCTGCTTCATTATAACTGGTGATACATGTTTAGGTCACCTGAGCTTTGCTCAAGTGACCTATTCTGATCGCATTCGTCCGTCGTCGTCCGTAGTGCGTAAACTTTTTACATTTTTGACTTCTTCTCAAGAACCAAAAGATCTTTTTTTTTAAACTTGGTCAGAATCATCATTGGTAGATGAGGCTACAAAATTGTAAAATTGGGATTCCTATCCCAACCCCAGGGGCCAGGGTGGGGCATCAAAGGGAAAATTAATCAATATTTCAAAAATCTTCTTCTCCAGACTCAGAGGTACTACAGTCAGTTTCTCTGCATGGATTGAAAGATCATCAACAGTTTTATGTCAATTGTAAATTTCAGTTCCCCCGGGCTATGCGTTCTCCCTTTGGGGAGGGGGTCAAGTTTAATATAGTTTATATTGGGAAATAACACTTTGGGGTATATTTTGTCAATTTTCAGTAGGAAATTATTCTTACTTGGTTAGAATCATCCTTGGCGGAAGATGATATGAAATTATAAAATTGGGATTCCTGCCTCAACCTCAGGGGCCAGGGCGGGGCCCCAAAGGGAAAATTAACCAATATTTCAAAAATCTGCTTCTTGAGACAAAGATGTACTACAGTCAGTTTTTCTGCATGGTTGGATAGATCATCAGGGGCTTTATGTAAATTGTAAATTTCAGTTCCCCTGGGCTATCCGTTCTCCCTTTGGGAGGGGGTTAAGTTTACTATAGTTTATATAGGGAAATAACACTTTTTGGCATATTTTGTCAATTTTCAGTAGGAAATCATTCTTACTTGGTTAGAATCATCCTTGGCGGAAGATGATATGAAATTGCAAAATTGGGATTCCTGCCCCAAACCCAGGGGCCAGGGCGAGGCCCCAAAGGGAAAATTAACCAATATTTTAAAAAAATCTACTTGAGACTCAGAGGTACAAAATGTACTACAGTCAATGGATGGAAAGATCATCAAGGGCTCTGTGTAAATTGTAAATTTCAGTACCCCTGGCTATCCATTCTCCCTTTGTGAAGGGGGTCAAGTTTACTATATTGGGAAATGACACTTTGGGGTATATTTTTGGGTATATTTTGTCAATTTTCAGTAGGAATTTATTCTTACTTGGTTAGAATCATCCTTGGCGGAAGATGATATGAAATTATAATTATTTATACTTGGTTAGAATGATTATGATGTCAGATGGCAATTAGATGGTATGAGAAAATCAGATCCTGTCCCATCCCCAGGGGCTGGAGGGGTGGGGCCCGAATGGGGTAAATGGTTAAAAATCTTCTTCATCAGACTCAGATGTGTTACAAACAAATACTCTTCATGTATAGAAAAATCCTTAGGTGCATTATCGATTTGAAAAAATAAGATCTGTCCTTGCCCCAGGGGCTGGAGGGATGGGGCCAAAAAGGGGAAAATGGCTGACATTTAAAAAACCTCTGCACGCAAATGGTAGAAGATTCAAATTTCCTTTTTTTGGATGAAAATGCATTATATAAACTGTTAGTTATGTTACCCTTTGGTCATCTGTTCTCCTTGGTTTACATAGGGAAATAAAACTTCTGACTATATCTTGTCCATTTTCAGCAAGAAATAATTCAAACTTGGTTGAAATAATTATAATGAAATTGGAATCAAATAGTATCAGAAACTAAGATCCTGTCCTATCACAGGGGTTGGCCAGAGAGGACAATTGACTAAATAACAATAGATATTATATTTCTCGATAGCAAAATAATGTATTTGAATAGTTTTTAGAGTTCTTATCCTATGATGACATGACAAGTATTGTATTTCACTTTGTTTACATGTTAATTTCCAAATCACATCTCAATAATAATACCAGTACCTATGATATAACTCATGTGACCGTTAAGGCCCTTGGGCCTCTTGTTAATTGTACTGACATTCTGCACGTTCAAGAGATTTACTTAAATAGAGCAAACTACTTTAGGCTCGATTCAAATTGAAAATGTTGTAAGAGCCAATACTATTAATAGACGGGTCAATATTCGTAGTTATGTGGATACGTCACGTTATTGTCCCCTGGACTTGCTTGTACTGTTAATATATGTTAGTGTAAATCACGATGTGTTCCGAATAGATGCATTTCGGTATCTAAATGTAATGTGCTCTTGTGATATTACAATTTTCCAGACAGTCGGGATGTATTTGTTCATCCTGGGAAAGGTAGGAATACCAGTTTTAAAGGGAAAAGAAGATTTAATTAAAATGATTGTATTTTGTATGAGTGATGATAGCATTACCTTTACCCGTCACGTTCGCATGTCAATAACGTTTTAGACACCTGACACTATCTTTTGTTGTTTGTTGTTGATATGACATGTTTATTCAGGAAATAAAGGTCTTTATATTTTCAAACTGTTGTTTTTGTTTATCAGCGGTTACATCTTTTACTGTAAGAATACATCACTTACATGTCGGGTATCTTTATTTTCGCAAACATGTCGTACACAATTATTTCTACAATATTGGACATGCATAACGTAAAACGTTAAGGTGATGAACATCCTTGTGTGTATGGCGTCGTACAAGGAAAAAGAGAACAAAGTACATGCAGTCTGCGTTGATCGACATTGTAAAGTTGGATATTTGATTTGGGACGTTCGGATTTACCATAACGTGTTCATCCAGATGTGACACAATAGTTAAACAGATGCATAACCGTCGTATAATGAACATATGTTGTTATTTCGTTGAGTGGAACCAATAACGACATGTAATGGTGATTGTACCTTGAACGTGTCGATGGAAGAAAATGTTAGATACGTCCTAGTACGTTTCACTAGAAGTGGGTCGAGTTGATATATTTATTGTCACGGAGTTGTTCCCCTGTGGAGTCGGTATACTTATTGTCATGGAGTTGTTCTGTCCTTGAATGCGGTAGTGTGTTATCAATGACAGGATTTACTTCCGCTTGTGAAGATGTATTATGTTCACCGAGTTCCCTCGTCGAATTGGCGGATATGTAGAAAAGTTTTGGTTCTGTTGAATGGGAAGTGGCCTGACCGACGAGTTTTTCTTCTGTTGGCTTGATTGTAATTTCGTCGTAAGATAAATGTTTCTGGTCTCGACTCTTTAACCAAGCTTTCCTCTGTTAAAAACATATACACTTTTGATTACTTGGAACTCAATATTTTACGTATTTTAACAAATTTTCAATGCATGACCTTGACAGTGGAGGTTAAGAACGAAAGAGCTTCGACATTGCAATATAAAATTCCACGTCGACACATGCATCTATAAACAAAAAGAAGATTATGAAACACATGTTAGTGTATGACATTGACTGCCGCTGAATAAAGCCTCAGACCTATGAAAGGTCAATACGCAATGAATTGTCGATATGTGAACGACCCTCATCAAACAATAAGAAATATCCATCCTTCAACTTATATCGATTTGAATCCTAGATACATGTATGATGTTACTCTTGAGGTACATGTACATGTAACAAAGTGTCGCCCTATCCATTAAACTACGCTGTCGTGGTGACGTCTTCCACATAAATTGAAGATCAATGTTACTGAAACAGCAGACAATTTTGTGTATCAGTTTAGATTCATATTTATAAGTATAAATCATTGATGGTATCCTTCCTTGAATCTATCACTTTTCAAAATACCATCAACATGTCTGACGTTGTGATTCCCGTTTTTGAGGGGAGATGCCTGGAAGAGGAGAATTACACTGTATCGTACAGTTGTTTTGTCCTTCTAGGAGTCATTGGTGATGCTAGGGGCCGAAATGTTAGAAATCCATATTATCTAAACTGTATGGTAAGATGATTATCTAAACTGTACGGTAAGTAAGAAGATTATCTAAACTGTATGGTAAGGAAGATGATTATCTAAACTGTATGGTAAGGAAGAAGATTATCTAAACTGTATGGTAAGGAAGATGATTATCTAAACTGTATGGTAAGGAAGATGATTATCTAAACTGTATGGTAAGGAAGATGATTATCTAAACTGTATGGTAAGGAAGATGATTATCTAAACTGTATGGTAAGGAAGATGATTATCTAAACTGTATGGTAAGGAAGATGATTATCTAAACTGTATGGTAAGGAAGATGATTATCTAAACTGTATGGTAAGGAAGATGATTATCTAAACTGTATGGTAAGGAAGATGATTATCTAAACTGTATGGTAAGGAAGATGATTATCTAAACTGTATGGTAAGGAAGATGATTATCTAAACTGTATGGTAAGGAAGATGATTATCTAAACTGTATGGTAAGGAAGATGATTATCTAAACTGTATGGTAAGGAAGATTATTATCTAGACTGTATGGTAAGGAAGATGATTATCTAAACTGTATGGTAAGGAAGATGAGTATCTAAATGTATTTACCTCCTCAAATCTTACTCCACCATACAACATTTTCCTTACTCTCTGAGGAAGACACGGACAGCAGTAATCAAAGAAGGGCAGAATGTAGCGGACGTCAACATCGGCAGGGTCCGGTCGTCCTAATCACAATATACATGAAATAAAAGTCAGGGTTAAATTAGAGATGTTGGGTGGAAATTGTACAATTGTTTTAACCATAATAGTATGTGCACTGTACATGTTTGCTGATACTCAATCACTTGGCAATGTGTCACAGTGATCGTGGTGAAAATGTTGCAATGTAGCTGTGGAGTATTGTATTATATATTAAATCCTTTCGGAGTATACCACAGCGTCAATCAACGTCAAGTTGTCTTCCATAACCACATGTGACACCCGTCATTGTGTCTCCGACAACACATATGACACCTGTCATGGTGTTATCAGACAACACATCTGACACCGTCATGATGTTTTCCGAGAAGACAACTGACACCGTCATGGTGTCTTCAGTCAACTCATCAACACATCTGACATCCGTCATTGTGTCTCTTATGACAACACATCTGACACCCGTCATTGTGTCTCTTAAGACAACACATCTGACACCGTCATGATGTTTTCCGACAACACAACTGACACCGTCATGGTGTCTTCAGTCAACACATCAACACATCTGACATCCGTCATTGTGTCTCTCATGACAACACAGTTGACACCCGTGCGGTGACTTTCGACTATACAACTGACACCGTCATGGTTTTTTTCGACAACACATCTTACTTCCGTCCTTGTTTCTCTTATGAGAACACAGCTGCCAGCCGTCACGGTGACTTCAGACTACAAATCTGACACCCGTCATTAAATCTTCCAACAACACATCTGTCATTCATTATGTCTCATACGACAACAAATCTGAAACCCGTCATTGTGTCTTCCGACAACACATCTGACACTCGTCATTGTGTCTCTAACGACAAAACATCTGTCACTCGTCATTGTGTCTCTAACGACAACACATCTGACACACGTCATTGTGTCTCTAACGACAACACATCTGTCACTCGTCATTGTGTCTTCCGACAACACATCTGTCACCCGTCATTATGTCTTCCGACAATACACCTGACACCCGCTATGATGTCATCCGACAACCCCCTCTGACACCCGTCATTGTGTCTCTTAAGACAACACATCTGACACCCGTCATGCTGTCTTCCTACAACACATCTGACACCCGTCATTGTGTCTTCTGCCAAATAACATTATCTCTTTAAATAGATAAGTTTAAATATATTCCATTTATAAATATAGTAAGTCGTCGCATAAGGCCGAACATGGTAACCATTTAATAATGCTGGTTATTACTGTGATCATGTCTACAATTGTGATAAATACTGTTGTCTCGTAGTTAAAGCTCAGATCATGATGGCAAACTTAACATTTTTAACGTATACGTAGAGACTATTCTGATTGTAGTGTTGATTGGTCAACTGAACGCATACATCTAAAATCTCCTGATACATTAAAACTTTATAACAAGACTCTCCTATGACAGATACACTCATTGGTAGGAAATGTTGTTTATGGTAATATGATTAATCATTCATTAATACAGCAAGTTCACGTCACAATTCAAATATTATATAACGTTTAAAATTTAACCATAACAGTATTGTCTCAACATTAACTGCTGTTTAACTTACCGGTTAGGACAGACACAACAGATCCCACAAACACTGTTGTGAATATGCATAGGGGGATCAGCCAAAAGTAAGATATGGAGTAGAGTAAGTCCACACCCTCACTGTAACAAACAGAAACATAACCGTGTGGCTAATGTCGGTATATCATGTTACTTATGTATGTCAATCATGAAATATATAAAATTGTAAACGATGTATCATGGAAAGTTTATAATGAAATGTTTATTATCGATAGATGTAAATCTGCAAAGTATTATCAACCAATGTCAATGCGAAATACTTTACTAAGTGCGCTTTTCATTCAGCTACATGTAGCAACCGAGCATTTCCAACATTGCGCATTGGCAACCTTCCAAATCATTAACTTCCTCCTTTTCATCAAACAATGCAAACGCAATCATGGCACCTTCTATCGCGGCCATACCTGCGTTACAAATGACGTAACCGACCGTTCCATTTGACATTTCCAGCAACGTCGCCAGCAGGTTATGACAAATCGCATTATCATCGCCGTTTTCTGAAACTTGTCATGGCAAGGAAACGCTAAATAGAAAGCAATCGAAGATATTTGTATCGTCACTTTTTTATCAAAAAATCATATCAATAAACTATTCAAAAATATCTCAAACGTATTTTAGATATTAATATTTACTTGTGCTCTTGATCTACCATGGTGACGGCAGAAGTCAAAAGTTGAGGTAGTGTTGTGATATCCCCTCCTGAACGGCTCTGGTTGGCGATGTTACCCCAGCACATGTCTGTGGAGACTGGTGGTAATGTATGAGCTCTCCTGCGGGTGGGGGAAAAGTTCTGTCCCAAGGCTATCCACATCACCAATCCCATACCCGTCAAACCTCCTGTTACAACTCCCTGAGATGAGAAAAGTTGAAACCTGGCCTTTTTGGATGCATCTTAATAATTGTATAACGCTCAGTGGTCAGGGAAATTATTTGTACACATCTGATTGAAGTGTCAAGGCTGAAATTTGGAGTGCAGTTGAAATCGGACTCATTTAAAATATCTCATCTAATAACGAATAAATTAAGATATGTTTCTAAAATTAAACAACGAAAACCTACCTTACTATTAGCCCAAGGACAGTATGCCGCGAAGAAAAACATTCCAGCAGATGCACCGCCGAAACTAGACAACGTGCTGTAGACTATCTGTTTAAATTAAACAAAAAAATAAGATCAAGCATTGTATAATTTAGTCTTACCATCAAGTAAAATGACCCAACTACGATTCAAAATAGTTCGTTTTGAAATTGCATGGTTTCATTAACAGATGGTCAATACAGTGACACTGTAAGATATGTTTTAAGTAATGTAGTTTATCATAAAGCTATGTTTGATATTATACCCTAAATTACCATAATTTATTGCACACATGCATGTCTTCGCTATCTTTACACTGCCTACGTATTCAATTTCAAATATCCATATACCTCTGACAAGGGGCCTTCTATTTCTGCAATCAGGAAGGAGATTCCTATTGCTATGACTCCGTATACTGGAACTGAAACAGAAGATATAGTAGGTGTATCACATAATACTGAGGAGCGACAAACACACTTAGATTGTTCTAACAATCATACATATTTTGCAAAGATAAATCTTACAAAACACACGTATATACATGTAACTAACTTGAGATTATTTTGTTACAGAGTCTAGTTAAACTTTTTGTTTTCAACAGAATCAAATTTCTGGATACATTAAATATTGTAGAACATATCACTTTCATTTCGCGAGTTAGATCTGACAAAAGTTTGTACCCTACGCTACCATCATTGATTGCATACATAACAAAAGGGTAAGACTTAACAGACATTGAATCTCACCACACAGTTTCGCTATGATAGTGACCTTTGGCTCGGAGATATCCTTGACCAGTGGCCGGACGATGTCCTGTACTGTCATGGCCGACAGACTGCTGAGTAACGACGTAATGGCACTGTAACACGTGCAACAGCATGTTACAATATCTACATCTACGGACGTATCAGGGTGTACGAATAATAACAAACTCAACAAAATTTAAAAGTGTCATTTTCTTGCCTTTTTAATGTGCAATATAAGGAGTTTTGCCTAAAATAACAAAAAATATTTCCCCCGCAATGAAAAGGATATATTTTGTTGATATTTTAAAGGTAGCTGGCATATTTACATAATATTGTGAACAATTATTGGGTGTGCCAAACAGAGCTGTCTCCTTTGATGGAGTTGTGCAGACTATGAAAGGCAATTAATGACGATATCCGACGTTCGTCATATAAGGGTATGTCATGTTTGATTTAATTATTCACTTGTACTGCAAAATTTATTTAAAAAGCTCAATTAACCCATGTTTACGTTTTAGATTAAAGAATAATTGAAAATAACCAGATCGTGAATACAGTTTGACAAACATGACTATGTATGTGTAAATGACCGCTGTTTACATGAAAATTGTGAAAATTGCTTATATCAAAGTACTTAACTAGTCTGGCCACACACAAATATATACAATATATTTGTACATAACTAGAACAGGATATAGTGTTTCTACAGACATTTGAAAGAAATACATTTTCGGTAAAGCTATTTGTTTTAAGATTTTGCGATTCTTTCTAAATATTTCTATTTATCGGCAGTTTACAAATATATCAAAATAAAACATTTGTGTTATTAATTTTGTCATTGATTACAAGTTGTTTTTGACTTGATCCTATTTCAGAAAAGAGTGCTAAAGATATATGTCTTAGAGAAGTTATGAGTTATATGTTTTGTTAAATAAGGCATGTCATTAAACATGTATAACCTCAAATAAGGCCATCTTAACAAAAACAGGACATACTGGTAGTACAATAACTGTATCGTGGATATATTGTTCGAGAGATCGTTATCACATTACATCATATATATTTTATTTATTTATTGTGATCATATAACGTTTCAACGTATATCCATTTTAAGCTGCACCAGTTACATGTATCTACCGATTATAAATGTTGAAAATTAAATTATCATGAGACCGTATGAGAAATAAATACTATCAAAACTTCCTCTTAAAACATAGATAAATAATGATTAGCATATCATTAGCCTGGTAAAAAGTGTTATCCATAGCATTACCTCAGCGAAGCACTAAAGACGGCGGCCACGAACACCCCCGCCATCCCCGGCATGTCCCGGAAGAGCACCACCACCAAGTAAGGTAGAACCTGTCCATGTAAAGAATTATATGTTTTATACACGTAAAAGATAACGACAGAGACAATAAAACAAAACCAATCATGTACCGAAACAAAAGGACAAATCGTACCCTGTAGGAAACCCTGGCTACATAGAACCCAGTACCTGTCAACAGCACGCATGACCATTATCACCGTTCAGTGTAAATGCTTTACAGCTCTTAGATTGGCATTATCGTCTTTCATGTCCAGATTAACTAACGGATCTCTTTTAAGATCAATGGCGAATTCAGCCTATTTTAAAACAGTAAAACTTCTTCTCCCTAAGTTAAATCCTCTATCCCTGATCTGTATCCAACAGATAATTTTTCCCTCTTATATGTATTTTATGTTTACTGTTAATCCCCTCACCCCTGGTCTGTAGCTCTACAGTGAAACCCTTCATCCGTGATCTAGGATAGTACTGTGTAGACAACTTCCATATCAATTGCCTGTTCGATATTTGATAAACGGTAAACAGGTAAAACGAAAAGTACCTGATTTGGATTGCCAATAGCTTTAGATTCCAAAGGGTCACATCCGGTCTTATTGAAGAAAGCGTAGGCGAAAATCCCCAGAGAGCAGGAGAGTAGGAAGTTGACAACTGTCGTTACCGCTGAAACCATAACTACTCTGAAAGGCCGACAAAAAATATTTTGAATACATTATGTTATTTCAATATCACCTTATTTACAATTGCATATACATGCATACTGCGATCAGTGACCTAATAGCCAATAAAACTACTTATAAATTCGCTCGGCTTAGTGATATTTATTCAGCTTCCCTATGAATGACAAAGAAATATATATATTTTCGGATATCTATTACAAGAATTACGTTTGTCATCACCTACATGTAAGTGTATAACTGGAATCGGAGGGAGATAAAACCTACTTTCGTGCGTCCTTTTGAGTCGGGACTGCACAGATCCTCTGGATAGTTGACTGGGTAGGGAGTTGACAGGTGAGGGAGATAAATGACCCTATAATCAGTGTCCAGTAGGAGTGACGCACTGTCGGATTAGGGCTCGTGCTGAAACATGTGACATTACAGGTACGAATCACTGATTAGACGCGTTTCAGAATAGTTGCTGCTACTTTCACTCATTCTTAAAAATGTATATGCATTTCTGTTTTCTTTTGAATGTTAAGCGCCTTACATTGATTTCTTTGAGATGAGGTGGGCGCTATTCCATTGCTGTATGATGATTATGATAATAATATCAAGCATTCCTAATCACATTTCTTATATTTAACAATGTCAGTAAGTTTATGATTCGCTGTTTGGCAAGAGCTAGGATGGAATTATAGCATATATAAAGCCGCAAATATAAAAATTACACAACATACGTTATTCATTGTAATAATCGACTTTGATGGAATACGTAGTTACTTACGACGGATAGCGTAGCCGCATCCCTTCATACGCTGTATCAAACACGGACCGGAGACCACCAACCTTTATTGTACTCTGTTGATATAGGTTATTGGATTAACAAAGTATAAATTCATAGATACCATAAATATTTTTCATATAGTAATATCATACGGGTTTTCCTGTTAAGAACGATGTGGACTAACATCATGTTATGTCTATTGACTGTAATTGTACATTTTTTAGAAAGATATTGGGCAGTACAACTGTTCTCAAAACTATTAGAGAGGAATTATAGGTTAGTTGATACAAACCTGTATAATGATACTGAATGTTCCGACAATGACCACCAAGAACTGGAACACGTTGCTCCACACAACTGCCTTCATACCGCCCTGAAACACCAAACGGTCCTTTAATAATCATATTCCCATACCTCTCTGCAATAATATTCAACCTCAGTTTCTATTATGTGGTCAGCAGTAGTTAATATTGAACGTCATTCATTAACAACAAAAACCGGTTATTATAAAGTGATATCGGTAATTATCAATTTTATCTTCAATCAAAGATGGCTTCCTACTGAATAAGGCAATGTTTTACTATCGGTACGAATAAAAACTGTAATGGTTAATTTTGCAACGTGAAAAACATTTTTTTTCTATGTTTACCATCGAAGGAAGATAAGTGTAAAAATCATAAACATTCAAATTTGTATGAAACATCTTAGAACACTATTGACTGTAATTTATTAGGTGCATGAGTCACTGAAACAATACTTCTGTAAATTCCATTTCACAATTATTCGGGTTTTTTTTGGAATAAATATATTCCTATACGTACCATTGCTGTGCCAATAATAGCGGTTAGTGCCACCGTCAGGACTGAAGCCCACATCGGGAATTCGGTGACTATGTTCAAGGAAACAAATTACAATAAAAACAGCAAGCTGACGTAACTAATACATGTATCATGTAACTAATCTTTAGGAGATAATATCCTATTTTGTTCAACAAATCGATGAAATGTGTCCATTCGTGGCTAAAACATGCACTTACATATTCTGTCCCAATGTAGTACCT